TTTTGGTTTTTATAAGACAAAACAAAGATAAGCAATTTATGCTTTCAAAAACTGGACACTAAAGGGGACTGAAATTTTTAGGCAGAAGGTAAGATTTACAATCTGGAAAAATGTTGCAAAATTTTGTACCAATAAAAATAGTGAAGGGGCGTTTTAAAGAATAGAATCAGAAAATAGTAACCACAATATTATTATATTCTTACTTTTCTCTGTATTTTCACTTTTTTCCCTGCAGTTTTTAACTCCTTTTTCCATCGCTATCATAACTGCAAATCGTTGCTAAATGAGGCAGTTGTTGAACAAGGGCTACCTGTATTAGCTTTTTAATCTCTGCTTCAGTCTAAATATGAACTGTGAGAAATTCAGGTTTTAGTGGAAATATAAATCTATAACTTTATAATTTATAATATGCATCTAATAAATAAATAAATAAATGTCACTTGTCCAATCTTCTACAGATTTTCTCCTAAACTGTGTTAAGACATTTTGCTGCCTGTGACAAATATATTGGGAATGTCCAAGCAAGTCAACTAGATTTGTTTCTCTTTTAGCGATAGAATATCAACTTCTGTTACAGCAGAAGGCAGGCTAATTCAGGAGACACCAAGTAGGTTGTGTGTTGCAAAGAGTTCTACTTTCTCAAACCTTGCATCTGTTCCCTTCCCCATATCTACACGCTGAGAGGCCGATTCACAGTCACTCTTGCTGATGGGGCCAGACTTGTTTATCTTCTTTTCAGTAGCAAAGACTACAACTATTTGGATTTGCTCAGTGTTATATTGGATGCAGTTCCTGCAATCTTTTATTTTCTCAGGAGCTTGTGAGAACAACAGTCTCCAAATATCTGTCTCTCACGAACCAAAGAATTCTGGCTTTTCTAGGATCTGTTACAAAGAGTGACCTAGAAATACTCTTTGCTGCTTTGTATTATGCAATTCCCCAGTGTAAACTTCTAATTCAGTCTTGCCAGTTGACCTACAAAACTTTTGATTTGGTTGCCAACTGTTTTTCTTTACATCTTGCAAGATCTTTAACACTTTTGTGGCAAGGAGAAATCAATCAAGTGAGGCAAGAAAAACACTCTATCTGTCAAATCTATAGCTATAACATAATTATTAAAGGCTCAACAGCCTTATTTTTTAAAAAAGCTTTTCTTATTTTAATGCCAACGTGTAGTTTATAGTCTCCACTTGGATTCATAATATTGAACAGCTTTGAAAAGAAATGAACTATAAAGCTAATTAAGAATGTGATGTGCTTTTCTTGATCTAGACACCGTATGAGAAGCAAATAAAATGGACAATTAAATCATAAAAATCTGATTATTATTTAAATACCTCCCACTAAAAACAGCATATGCTTAACAACCATAGGAAATAGCTCTATTCTGTAAATAATCCAATTACATATTATTCCAGAAATATTAATAGTGCCCTTGGAAAAGAAAGTTCATAAAATTTGTTTTTAAATAAACACATTTTCTAGTTGTTATGGTTCTCCTTAGACAATTTAAAAAATGATGGCTGTTTATCACTGAGCTTCCTATGATAGCACTAACATATTTTGAAGTTGATTTGCATTACAGTAATGAATTAATGCTGTTAACTTCATTTCACCATCCTGGGGGAACAAAGTATAATACTGTAGTAACTCTCATTTTGTTGTGAAGCCACAGCGCCTCCCCAAGTTACAATGGTAAAATGCATTTTTATCCAAGGTTGATTTTCTGGAAGGAGATACCACCTGCTTTATTTCACACTATGGTTTAAAGTCAAACTTATTCAATAATGCTCACTGCTGGAACTATTTTTCAAACTTGTTTCTTATATGTTATGAACCTGTGATATCTCATTATTAAATAATAACTGACTAAAATATTGATATCTGTGGCAATTTATTATTTCAAGAAAACAAATGAAAGATCTGTTAAGTTATAAGGTGCCAGAAATTAGCCTAGATTAAGGTGTGCCTTGAAAATCTCTGAAAATGTTAACTCCCACATCTCTTTGGTAACCCACCTGGAGTTATCTCGAGTGAGTTCAATGGCCATATAAATTTTTGTAATAAGTAAATAATAATAACATCATCTAAATCAGTGGTTCTCAACCTTTTTAATGCCGCGAACCCCAACCGGTCGTAAGTCGAGGACTAAACCAGTCGTAAGTCAAGGACTACCCAACCGGTCGCAAGTCAAGGACTTTCCCTGCCCGGGAGCGCCGCGCATGCGTGGTTCCGCCCCCTGCGCCGGCCGAGGCGTAGCTGGCAAGCGGCAGAGACGGAGCAGGCCAACCACCAGCTGGCCCAGTCCAAGGGAAGTAAGGCACCCGCCGGAAAAGGGGAAAAAATGGCGGACAGCCTTGCTTGGCGACCCCCATGAAATGGTCGATCGACCCCAAATGGGGTTGCGACCCATAGGTTGAGAACCGCTGATCTAAATGGCTTCTAGAGCTCGAGACCATTCTAAAGATGATCTTAGCATCTGGGAAAATTCATACAAAACTGAGTGATCCCCAACTCTCAAACTGGCGCTGAATGGGGAAGTGCCATCCCATCCCATCCAGAACGAAGGGTGAAAAGTCTCCAGAACTGGATCCCAGCCCCCTCACACCCTCCGACAAATCCATAGCTACTCATTCTTGCTAAGGTTGAGTCATAACCTGTTTTTCTCCATCCAGATCTTCACAGCCTCCAAATACTGGACAAAACCAAGACAGCTTCACTGGGGCAGCCACCAGCAGATGCATATAGGATAGGATAACCTTTAGTGTCATTTTTTACTGTGAGCACATTGGCACACATTAAAAATGAAATTTAGTTGCTTGCTCCCAAAAATGTACACATAACACACATTTAAACATGCTATATACAACATATGTATAAACCTTCACCCTTACATATAAATAACATATAAATATTACTCACTGACCATCTTGAATATGTTACAAAAAGAGGAAGCTTTAGAGTTCACAAGGTTAACACCGTATGGAACAAAACTATGACTGAATCTGGATGTTCTGCTTTGGATACCATGAAGCCTCCTCCCAGAAGGTAACAAGGAAACAGGTCGTGAAGAGGATGTGTAGTGTCCCAGACAAGTGGCTTTCAGAGGAGTGTGCAGGCTATTGGTTCCTTTAAAGATAATGGAATCCCTCCACCCAAAGATGCATTCACCATCAAGTGAATGAACCACACATCACCTCCCAAGATGCCTTAACTTAGAGGTCCCCAACCATTTTATGCACCAGGGACCAGTTCCGTGGAGATTTTTCTGTGGATCGGAGGGGGCGTGGTTTCATGTACTTCCTGCATTCCGTGGATGGGGTTTTGCTTGTTTGCACAGACCGGTTTCTGGCATGCCGCAGTCCGGTGCCGGTCCACAGACTGGGGGTTGGGGACCCCTGCCTTAAGCTATTGGAAGAGGCATGGGTCTGTAACACAGGTGGAAATGACTCTGGGACTCTATTCAGTTCCTCAGGACTAACAGGCTCAAATTCCTCCCAATCAAGTTAGAGCTTGTCTGAATCAACTCCATTGAACCTACATAACAAGTGTCCAACTCAGGCTAGATCTGAATGACTTTATTTGACAGATAGTACCCTTGCAGGTAAATCCACTGGTTTCTACTTATGCAGGAGGGACCAGATCACCTAAAGTAATGGGTGACAGGATGCAGACATTGTTAGAGCAGAAAAATACATTTTGCTACTCTTATGGCTATGAGGTAATCCCTAATAAAGAGAATCATTTGATGTAGTCAGGGCTTTTTTTGTCATCGAACGCCCAGAACAGAGTTCCGGCACCTTTTTTGGATGGAACCTTGTAGGATAGGCAAGGCGGGTTGTATGACGTGTGTGAGTTCCGGCACCTTTTTTTTTTTTTTTTTTTTTACAAAAAAAGCACCGGATGTAGTGGTTACAGCATCAGGTTAGAAACTGGTAAATCATGAGTTCTCTAGTCCCATCTTTGACATGAAGCAAGCAGGATGACTACTGGGCCAGCCATTTTCTCTAAACCTTAGGAAGGAGGCAGTAGCAAATCACTTCTAAAAATCTTGCCAAGAAAAGTGCAGGGACTTGTCCAAACAGGGACCAGGAATCCAGTGACTGGAAAGAACCAAAATAAATAAAATAAAATATAAAATAAAATAAATACCATAACAAAGGCTTTATTAGGTTTTAATATTGCTCCTCACCATCCCCCCCTCCGTTGATGGTAATTTTCCATAGTTTTCAAAATGTGGCAACGCACCACTACCAAGGATTTTACTGGATCTGGGTTGTCAAAACTTAGTTGATAGCAAAGAGACACTAAAGAAAAAAGAAAAAGAAAAACAATTTGTCTTTGTAATCTTGTGGCCATACAGATTTTTGGCAGCCCAGTTCTAGCAGTCCCAGCATTGGGGTGGCTTTGTGTATACTTTTTCAAAGCACTATCAGGAACTCTTCTATATCACACTCATTATTAACTGACTCAGGCTAGATCTGAATGACTTTATTTGACAGATAGTACCCTTGCAGGTAAATCCACTGGTTTCTACTTATGCAGGAGGGACCAGATCACCTAGCAGGGGTTCTCAACCTTGGCAACTTTAAGACTTGTGGACTTCAACTCCCAGAATTCCTCAGCCAGCTTTGCTGGCTGAGGAATTCTGGGAATTGAAGTCCACAAGTCTTAAAGTTGCCAAGGTTGAGAACCCTGAATATAATGGGTGACAGGATGGGATTCTTCTCTTTTTACAATGGATTGGAGAGCAGAACTGGCACCTGATAGATTTCAGCCTCTGCGTGCACAGCGGAGAGACTGTAAAAAAATCAGACCAATCGGGGGGGGGGCTCTTCCGACGCTGATCCACGCGAGCAACCTTCGATTCCGAGAACAAGTTCTGAATGCAATTCTGTCTGGAGCCCTGCAGGGGGCAGCAGAGAGATGCTGTGCGCGGTGGACGTTCTGTCTAGAGTTTCCGCCCCTCGTGTGCTCTCGCTACTTCCGTTTCCTGGCCGGTTGTCCGTCGGTTGGGCTGCTGTTGGGAGTTGGCTGAGTTTGCATCAGCTGCTGGGAAGAAGCGCGCGAGCGATGGTGCTGCTGGAGAGCGAGCAGGTGCCGTGGCCTAACGCTCCGTCCCGGGGGTGCCTTTTAGGGAAGGGGCCGCTCTTGGAGCTCGCAAAGCCCGTTGCTATGAGCGGAAACGTCCTCCGACCTGGCCCCTTCATAGGGAACAGCTGTCTTCCAGCTGTTCCTTGCTGTGTAGAGCAGATTAGGCGGCAGTGGGACGGGGGGGGGGCGGTTAACAAAAAAAGGAGGCAGTTTTTTCCGCATTGGGTCTTTTCAAAATCTGTATTTAGATTCTAGCAGCCGGACTAATGGTCTTGTGGAAAACGAAAGAACTCTTACGAATTCCAGAGGGGTTAGCAGAGAAGTTTAATTGCGCAAGGTCCAGAGCATGTTAGAGATGAGCAATTCTGAACGAGGAGGGCGTGATTAGACTTCAGTTTTTATACTCCCCTCCTTAAAGAACAAAGGGCTACTACACATTGAAATTCACACTGTGATACATTAGGAACGTTTCTCACAGGCATACAACGGAAGGTTTTGCTACATACAAAGTATCCATGTGCAGAGCGCATTTGGTTGCCACCTATTACTGACACAGAACTTTCCCAGTGAATTTTCCCAGTGATTATGCATTACATCATTGTTCTAGCAATTATGCAGACACATCATTATTGCAGTTATGCAGACAAATCATTATTCTAATAATTGTTCAATTTACTATATTATTATATTATATTAATGGTGCATAAGGCGCTTGGACAGGCAAGGAGGAGCGCCCATCACTTCCCTCTTATAGTAATGTAGTAAAATGAACAATTATTAGAATAATGATTTGTCTGCATAACTGCAATAGTGATGTGTCTGCATAATTGCTAGAATAATGATGTAATGCATAATCACTGGGAAAATTCACTGGGAAAGTCCTGTGTCAGTAATAGGTGGCTAACCAAATGCGCGTTGCACATGGATACTTTGTATGTAGCAAAACCTTCCGTTGTATGTCCGTGAGAAACGATCCAAATGTATTACAGTGTATTATCATGTGTAGTCCCTTTGTTCCTGAAAGAAGGGAAGTATAAAAACTGAAGTCTAATCCCGCCCTCCTCGTTCAGAATTGCCTGTCTCTAATATGCCTCTGAACCTGCGCAATAAACCTCTCTGCTAAACCCCTCTGGAATTCGTAAGAGTTCTTTCGTTTTCCACAAGAATAGTATTATGTCACTCTTGAAGGTTGTTTAGCCCCCCCCCCGCCACGGCATTTATTGGCACAGGGGGGGCGCTTTAAGAGCGCAGTTAATGGTGAATGCCAGAAGCTCCAGCCCATGGCACGAGTTCTTTGCTACGTGCCAGTTCGTTTTCTGGCCCCATCTCATTTTGCAACTGTTAACGTGCCTGTTGAAAACTCCTTGTCATGGGAAAATTAATTATCATTACAAGGGGCTCATTTGAAGTGGCTTACATGGCACTTATTTTAAGAATATTGGCTGTGATGTAACAAGAGGTCTATCTTAACGCAAATGAGAATCTGTTTAATAGGGAGGTAAGGGGCAATGAAAGATGTAGATTCAGTGCATATCTAGCTCCATGAATAGATTATAATGCTGTGGGTTAATAGTCAAATGCAGCGGTTTCAGTTCAGTTGGGCGTGACTGAAAGCTTTAGGATAGAATTGTTCACTAGCTAGAAAAAGAAAATAATTCAGTGTTGTGATCTCTGTAACAATTAGATGTTTTGTTTGTTTGCAGTTCTTGACAGAGCTAACCAGGCTTTTTCAGAAATGCAGGACCACAGGCAGTGTCTATATAACATTAAAGAAATGTAAGTGTTACATTACTGTTTGTCTCACATTTAGCTCATCAGTATTTTCTCATAACAAAATAAAAGGAAGATTCTGCAGTACTGAGTAGTTGAACTGCAGTTCAGTTAGTAAGTGGGTAAGCAGTAACTTCAGTAATAATATAGGAGTTGATTACTTCAAATTTAAACTTTGGGGGGGAAAAAAAACCTGATTTAGATCTGTACTGAGTCAGGGGTGTTTAATGCTTCCTAAACGTATTTTCCCTTAATCTGAATATTTTCTGCTTATTGGATAGAAACTTCCAACTTTTTTCCTGATATAGTTTTCACAGAGATAGGTGATCTGTGTCCCGCTGCACCCATTGTTTATAATAGCCTTTAACTGGGAATTTCTGAGAGTTGAACTCCATACATTTTAAAGTAGCTACGATTGAGAAACGCTGGAATAGTGGATTGGAGAAAAGAGGAACATAACAATAATGGGGTTTTCTGTACTTCTAAGGTATCTTGCCTCCAATTCACCTGGTATTGGGGTAACAGGAAAAAAAGAGAAAGCCAAATTTTATTCTCCCCTTGCTTGAATCATAAACAATATGAAAAGGTAATAAATTCTCTTAGAAAAAAATATTTTTTTTTGTCTTGTAGCATGGGAGGGAAAATGTTTGCTTCCAAGTGAGCAATCTGTATTGGCATTGCCACAACTGGGAAGTGAGTTGGGTCCTTTAACTATTAAAGAACAGCTTCATGTGTGCTTAATATTGTGAAACATTATTATTATGCCCACCTTAATATAACAACCAGCATTCTAACAAAATTGTTGCCTCCCAATCTGCAGTTGTAGAATTCTGATATGTGAAGCAGAATTCAAAAATGGAGAAATTATTTTATTAAAACATTATTTTGCCATCTTTGGATGGGAAAAATTAACTTGCTAGTTTTGCTAAGTATGATACCTAACTTTGATGCTTATTTTAATGTAGATGATGGTCGGACAAGACCAATTCCACGGAAGGGCCATCTTGAGAGTTTTGAGCCTGTAGACAACAAATGTCTTCTTAGAGCCACAGATGGGAAGAAAAAAATAAGCACAGTGGTAAGTACTATTCTTTTACGAAAGGATGTTTTTTCACCATTGCATTATCTGTAAATTCCAAAAATGGAGTAATCAAGTTCAGAGGAGTTAAAAGGTCTAATTTCAAAATTATTAATTATACCTTTTGAAGAGATTTCATTGGTCTCTTTATATGTATGATTTATATTATGGACTTGTAACTTTGACTGAATTGTTGGTCGCACAGCTGTATGATTAGACTAGATTGGGCATTTTTATCCACCTATTAAGTTCTTCTCAAATACGTAGGGTGGGAAGATGTTACTTGATGGTGTTAAAGGATGCAAGCTGTTCCAAATAAAACTGCCTTTTGCAATGGGTGATTTTGTCAATGTGAGTGGTGTTCAAATGGTACCGAGATGTTTTGCAATTTCACCTAAGACACCTATTGCTCTCTTTGCTTTTTTGCCACATATTATTCTATTATTTTGTATACTTCACAGTTAATTATGCTCTTCCTGTTTTCTCTATAGTCCTGATATGTGGGTTGGACTGACAAAATATGGCTTACCCGGAGGGCTTTCATACCGAAGGGAGATCTAATATTCACTTTCCTGGTTTTTAGTTCAGCACTAAACCAATGCATCAAAACATAATGTATCAATTCTTATTTTTCTGAATTTTGTGATCAACAGAACCAATTGTTTTTGAATATATTGGTTCATCATCTAATAATTTTATCATGTGATTAATTCCTTATAGGTGAGTTCAAGGGAAGTTAACAAATTCCAGATGGTAAGTTTGCATCTATTCACTTAAGACTTCAGATTTTTTTATCAATTGATTTTCAATTTTTACACTGAATGCATGACTGAAACCTATTATAAAAAAGTGTAGCTGCTTTATCTCTGCAAATATTTTGAGACAAAGATTAGCAGTTTCCTGAAACTTGTTTTTTTTTTTATAAAAAATCTTGTTTTTGATTGCAGGCATATTCAAATTTGATTAGAGCTAATATGGATGGTTTAAAGAAGAAAGACAAGAAAAGCAAAAACAAGAAAAGTAAAGCAACACAATGATATAAAAAAACATTTCTGTAAAGAATGGACCCATGTTATACCCCACATTTTTTCTTTATGTAACCACTTACCTTTTGACTTCATTTCCAGCTAGTAACTGAACAATAAGATTCTTATACAAACCGAGAATGCTCTCAGGATTGTGATACACAAAAATAAATATCCATAATGCATAAATTTGCGCAGCTGATTTGTTTCATACCTTTGACTTATTTCAATAAGTAAGTTTTACTTAGAAAAATAATTTTGATGTAGTAGTTTGTGTTGAGTATGTGCAAAAGTTTTATGAGTGGAATAAAGGTTGAGAACGACTTTCAGTTCTGGCTTCGCTTTACTGTATTTCACGTGACCTTCAGTAAACTTTACTTTTCTCAACAAATGGAGTCAAGGATTGTTCTTGCCTAAAGGTTCAAGTTGAGACACGACTGACAAAAAATATTAAATAGCTAATAGATAGGCTTTTAAAAAAACTGGAAATAGATTGTCAATGATTTATGGATCTGAGCTTCTAAGAAGCATTTACTATGCTTTAACAGTTTTTTATATAGTGAACTGATGAGCATATCTGTTGCATGGCACAAAAGCATGGCACAAAATAAGTTTTCTATAATTTTAAAATATTACTTTATGGTGGCAGGGTAACTAATCAAACTAATCTTAAGCAAGTTTTGCACTGTTGAAACAATTCTGGAATCAACAGATTAAAATAGTTATATACAAGTTTAATTGCTGCAGCAGGATTTAGAAGAGGAGCAAACTTAGAACTAAAAATTGTAAAGTTTGCTTATCAATATTAAAGTAACTTTCAACTAGTATCTTGATTCTTAAATATTTGTGCTTAATGTAACAACTGTCAAAACAATTTGATTCAATGGGACTTGTATGGAAACAAGAAAAGATTATAATTAGAAACATGCATCTTCTCATAGAAATGAATTTGGTTCACAGCTATAGATATTTTTCATTAAAAATGTTATTGTTTGACTGTATATTCTTGACTGTATATTCTGTTTAGTTTTTTTCAAACTAAACAGAACTTGGCAACTAAAATATTGGAAAATGTGACAATCTGTGAATCCCTTTGTGCAAATAATAGTCAGTAGAGACTTGGTCAGCAGAAGAGCCATTTTAAAGACTGGTTATGGCTCACACGGTTATGGCTAACTGCTTATGGCTCACACGGCTATGTGCAGTTAACCCCTATGATAAATAAATACAAATGATTGATGCTCCTTTGGAAGTATCTTAGTAATTCTCTAGTTTTGTGTTAAAGTGTGTATGAATAATGAACTAGCCTGTGTCTCTACACTGAGCGGAGAAAAATCTCATCTAAAAGGCTTTAGGCAGAAAGGTATTTAAAAGTGTGTATCTGAGCTATCAGACCTACATGTATGAATCTAGGTAGCGAGCAAAGACAATCAAAATACAATAAAAATTGTCAAAACTGCCACCTCACACCTGCACTGAAGAGATCATCCAGTGCCATGAACTTTGTGGGGAGGGTGAGAGGGAGGAGTGCTTGGGGGGAAAGTGAAAATTAAGAAAGTGAAGATGCCTTTCTGAGATGGCGTTTCAAGGTCGTTTCGCTATGAGAAGAATGCAGCTGCAAGCCAGCCTATCAGAGTGAACAATCCAAAAACATCTTGGAAATCGGTTGGACGGGGGGGGGGGGCAGAACGGGGAAGTGCCTAAGTGGGGAAAAGTTTTCACTTCCGGATTTGGCGCATGAATTTCAGTTCTGGCTTTGCTTTACTGTATTTCACTTGACCTTTTGTAAACTATAGCTTTCTCAACAAATGGAGTCAAGGATCATTGTTGCCTAAAAGTTCAAGTTGAGGCAGGACTGACAAAAATTGTTAAATAGCCTATCAGGAAGAAGAAGATTTTCTTCTCAGATAGGCTTTTAAAAAATAGAAGGAGTTCCAATTCATCACTCTCATTGGCAGAAGAAACAGAAACATTCCTGCCCAATGGCAGGTTGGAGATCCAGGAAAAATACAGCAATCTTAGGATTAATTGTTGCTTAATGAAAAATGATATGCAGTGCTGCCTTTCCTATACTTCGGTTTACTTGTTCTGCCATGTGTATGTGCATATACACTGAAAGAACAACAGCTGGGATTACTTTTTTTCCTTTTCCTTCTTTCTTTTTTTGACAAACACTTGCAACATACATTCTTTTGTACTTTCAAAAAACCCCATCATTTGTAAGCATTCTTAATACATAAATTCATCCACTTGTGCTAGTTCAGCATTTTCGTATTCCAATTCTTCATTCCATTTTCCCTGTCATATTTTCAGATTGCACTCCATATGCATCATACAATCTCATACTTGCAGTGGATAGCTGAATTCATACTGCATCAATTACACACATAGGTATATGAAGTGCTTTTTTTGTAAAAAAAAAAAAAAAAAAAGTGCCGGAACTCACACACGTCATACAACCCGCCTTGCCTACCCTACAAGGTTCCATCCCAAAAAGGTGCCGGAACTCCGTTCTGGGCATTCTATGACAAAAAAAAAAGCCCTGGGTATATGTATATTCAGTCACCACCCACCACCCTACAAGTATTTATTCCTTAGGATTCAAGTTATTAAGCAAAATATAAAGAGGTGAGGTGAGAACTCATTCGATAATATTTCTGCAATCTATCTGCATTTGAAGCAGGAAAGGTGTTTTGGAGACAGTATGGGTGTGCTCGCTGGCCCTGCTGGTGTCATTTTCCAGGGCTCACATTGGAATTGTGTGGTCCCAGGGAAGCCAGATGTGAGTCCTGGAAAAGAAGTGTCTTCTTAAAGAAGGCTTTGACAGGTGCAGGTATATATCCATTCCCCTCCAAAACATCTTGCAGTTCAGATCTGCTGTACATCCTTGCCCTTAGATTGGATTAGGTCCATGCAAATTATTCATACTTGGATCTGAAAAAGGGTCTTCTCAGAAGGGGCAGAAGCAAAATTCATTACAACAACATGTTAGAGAAGGAAAATAGATGTGAAAAAAACTTATAAAAGTACAATAATCACCTCCCTTTTAAGAAAAATGGGGTCCTAGAGAAGATCTTAGCTGATTCTACTGAAAAATATATCCAAGTGTCTCAGCCTCTTCCCTATAAATTCCTTTCAGTTCACAACAGTGGGATGACTGGAGATCATTGCTTTTCTGCTTAGCCTTCCTTCCCAATTTCAAAAGATGTGGAAGGAGAGTCATGGGATGAACAATGAAAATTGCAGTTACTTGACTTTTTCATACCCAAATGCCACAATCTGCCAATTTTATTTTAAGCAAAAACTGAAGTGCATCCAAAAGTATCAGAAGATTACTTTATTTTGAAAATGATACTGTACAATATATTTTGAAAATATTTACACCTTTAGATGCCAACTATGGCACATGAGCTCAACATAATACTTAAAGGCAGCGATTGTCCGAGAAACGCTTGGGGAATCAGCAAAAACAAAGTGCAAGTTTCCTTTACATGACTATAATTGGAAGCACGTATTTTGTCCCATTCATTATCCTCACTTTAATCCTGACTTATAACTAAAACAGGAATTTGTAGTAGTCATCTTTGTAACTGTAGAGAACAAGGACAGGCACTCTGCAAGAAATAAACAGGTAGAAAATTGAGAAAACATAGTCAATTTTGGTAAAAGGTGCTATTGTATTTCAAATTTGTGTTAGGCTTCCTCATCAGGAGACCAAATAAATTTGTCCAACAG